TTCATTCAGTGAATAGAAAGATTTGTACTAATAGTGTTTGGACAGGGTATCATGTCTACATCTTGTGCTATGAATAACCACTAAGAAGACAACAATATGCAATGTATTAATTATTGAAACTGTTCTACTAATTGGTTTTGAAACTGTCTCATTGCTATTTGTTTCTCAATAAAATTATTTTAAAAAGTAGTCATTTTACAATGATAGAGTTAATAAAAAAGAAAAGAAGACAGCCATCCTAATAAGTATGTTTCTAATAACTGTCTCAAAGTACATGGGTGCAAAACTATGGAACACAAAGAAGAAACACACACACCTGTAATGTGACTATATGCATAGATTTTAATTCCCCTCAGTAATTGTCAGAACCATTACAGGACAGTTAAGCATGGATATAGAAAACTTAAGAGCACCATCAGCCAACTTGGTCCTGCAGACTTGCAGAAGGCTCCACCCCGCATCGGCAGAATGCGTGTTCTTTTTGATTGTGCCCAGAGCAGGACCAAGCGTGTTTGTCAGCTTTCCGCTACCATAACCCACACCTGAGATAAATCAGCTCACAAAGAGAAAGGGGTTATTTTTGCTTGCAGTTTTGGAGGTTTCACATAATGATCAGTGAGAACGTTCCTGATCCAAATGCTATTGCGTCTCCGTATCTTTAAAAGGATTTGCACCATGTAAAGAATGTTCTCTGACTACGATGGGATTACATGAGTCACTAACAGTAAGATATATAGAAATTCTCCAAATATTTAGAAGAAATCTTGGGCCAAGCCTGGAACATTGGGCAAAGGAAGAGGGGTAGAAGCAATGGGGAGTGGCCACAGCTGGGTCCCAGAGGTACAGGACAGGGCCTTATCTGTCACTTAGAGACATGCAAGAACTGAGTTCAAGGGATGTAGATTACTATTAGAGATGTTTTTAAAAATCTATTTGGATTATATTGAGTTGGTGTATAACTTTATAAAGTGAACTTCTGCCAGACATGGTGGCTTATACTTATAACCCCCAGCACTCTGGGAAACCGAGGCAGGAGGATTGCAAGGTTGAGCCCAGCCTGGCCCTCACACTGAGGTACATCCCTGTCCCCTTTAATTTTTTAGTATTTT